TCTGTCACAAGAACAAAACCAAACCTGCAGCATCAACCAAAACCCTGAATTATTAAGTTATTCTGAAACCAAAGGTGCTTGAATAATTTCCCCCTTTTAACACAACCAGAATGTTGACCAACAACAACCCAAGTTTTAAAACTTGGGATTTTAAAAAGGTATTAATTTAAAATGTGCCCAAGATTGGAGCTGCCTTACATGGCTGAAGCATCCACCCACCTAGCCCAGCACCCAGTCCAGGTGCCTGCAGGAATAAACTCCCACTGTTAAAGGTCCAAGCTGTACCCCAGCACAAACTCCATCCCAGTAAATCTGCCTCTGACAAGCAGCTGCCCAGCAGAGCACAAGCCTCAGATGGACTGAATAAGCTGCCTGGTGATAAAAAGTGCAAAATATACAGACAGAGCCAATATTCCACAGTTAACAGCCTGGTATTTTTGTTTTAACAGCCACCTCTGTACAAAGACCAGCCAAATTCCATATGCAACTTAGAACACAAAAATTCCAAGTTACCCTCCCTCAAACCATTTCTGTTCTGCCCTCCAGAACTGCAATATCCAACCAGTGAATTTTAGAGTGGGGTTTTTCCTGCCTCTAAAATACATTACCCAGAGCATTTTGTTTAAAATGCTTTTACTATCTCAAAGATTCTAGTCAAAAGCTCGTAAAAGAACAATTTTGCATTTTTGTATTTCTACTTTTCTTCTATTTTATTTCAGTCTGTACTGATCAACCAGTTCCCTGGTAATATGTGCTTTAACCAGTCTGCCCAATATCCCTGTAAATTTAATTACTATTGTCTCTGAAATGAACAAACTGAAGTAGCTAATCTCAGTTTTTTTAAGGAGATACCACCCCAGAACTCACATTATGAGGACACTCCAACTGCAAAGCAAATCCCAGACTCTCTAGGTGGGCATTGCTTTTGGAAGTATAAGAAACCCACCAAAAAAAAGGCAAAACCTGAGAAAAACAGAAACAATAAAAACTTCACCATGTTTGAATTGCACCTTACACTGCTATGACTGCAGGACCTCCGGAGCAATGTTTATATTCCATACCCAACAGTGCTGGCTGTAGGGCAGCTGGTGAACTGGTTTATTTTGGCTACAGCAGAGCACAGCCTTGCTCCTCGAAAGCAGCAGATGAACTCTCTGCTCCCAAATCAGCCTTTGGGCACTTCCCAAATGGACCTGGCTACATCCAACTTTGCTCTCCTCGCTCCACACTACTGTTAACCTGCTAATAGTATAATTTAATCAGATATTAGCATGAAATTGTTCTCTGTGAGGGTGCTGGCACAGGGTGCCCAGAGAAGCTGTGGCTGCTTCTGGATCCCTGGAAGTGCCCAAGGCCAGGCTGGATGGAGCTTGGAGCAATGTGGGATAGTGGAAGGTGTCCCTGCCATGCCAGGGGTGGAACTGGATGAGCTTTAAGGTCCCTTCCAATACCAACCACGCTGCATTTCTGTGATTCTAACCCATCCTGCTTGGCTTTCAGGGGATAAACACAGAAAGCAGCCACGGAAAACAGGCAGAAACACAGGGAGCAGCAGCAGCAGCTTTCGCAGGGACGGACAGACAGA